TATATTTACAGTGAGGAAACATTTGCAAACATCTGCAATAAAACCACGATAAAATAATATAAATAGCACATTAACAAACATCCAAAATACTGTAAATGTAAAAGCTAAAATTCTCATTTCTGAAAATCATTATAGTCCTCTTTTTTTTTTTTCCTTTTTTTTCCCCCAGTATGAATAAGATACTTTAGAATGATGAAGCTCTCCAGGTATTAGGCAGTTTTGTTTCAAGTGCATGACCTAGGATTCTATTAATGATCAGTTCCGACCCCTACACCTCCCCGCAGACTCCTAGAGATAATGAGAAGAGCAGGGAATTATTGATCAAAACTAATGTGGCTTCCTTGTGGATCCTCAGTTTCTGTGTTAAACAAAATCAATCAATGCCAACTGAAAATCATGTTAGTCATAATGTACGAACAAATTATACCAACTAAGATTCTATAGAAAATAATATTGTTACAATGCTTGCAAAAGAATTAAAATTTTATTAAAACTTTAAAAAGTAAAAAAGAAAAAAAAAAAAAAGAGACTGATTCACAACATAAATTGTCTGAACACTTTGAATTCAGTTACCTGAGCTCCAGCTACTCCAAATTTAGGAATTTTGGATATCAGGATCAACGTCCTGGGATTTTTCATAGCACTTTGTAGACATAAAAGTAGCCAGAACTCAAATCCAGAGCATGAGAATCTTCTAATCACAGAATTCAGGTAAGCAAATTAAAGATTGCCATCCTAATTTTCTCAAGCAATTAAACCACTTCTCTCATACCACTTTTCCTCTCATCAACTGCTTCTATTTTCTGGAGAAAATTACTGTTTATTTTTGAGCTATAAATATATATTGGACAGAATTACTGGAATCTATTGAATATTTAAATGTTCATCCCACTCTTCTCAGGTTAATATACTTGTATTCTATGGAACGCTTCAGCATGACAAATTTTATTTTCAGACAGATACAATTCTTGTGAAAGAACACAAACCATGGGTGCACGTGTACACACACTGTTATCAAAGACTTCTTGTCACGTGCTTTAAAACAAGTTTCAATTAGTGAAGGTACTGGACAAAAATGGAGAATAACTGCTATCTTCCAGTCTCTCACAGGCTCCAGCTTAAAAAACTGATGAAGCTTGACTGACACACAGGGATATTACTCTGGTGATAAACCAGATGCTATGTTGAAATATAATATCTTATCAAAGTAATGCAATTGAGGTCATTGCTATGGAATTTGATCTCAAAAAAGGGACTAGAGAATGCTAGTTGTAAATAATAATAATATAACTAAAAGTGCAGGCAAACGACTGTCATAATATCACAAAACCTACATTCATGAATAAAAAATACATCACAACCAAACATACCAAATATACATTATGACTCTGTGGGTCTAGGAATGAAGCAATCAACACTAAATCACGCTTGAAATCAGGGTGAATATTGATGCCATTTTTTCCGATTACATTAGCAATCTGCCATACTTAAAGACTGCTAGAAAAAAATAAAGAGTAAATCAGCACTCTCCATCATAGGGAAACATTTCAAGATCTCTGTTCTTCATGCTCTGCTCAGACCACGCCCTAAACACTGCATTTTCATTTTTAAGAATTCCAGTTTTATCTATCTGACATATACTGTCTTTCATTTCTTAGGAAAAGACCTTAGCTGATGTAGCAGTGGAAATCGGAGTGGATTCTGGTAATGAACTCAGGACTTACTCTAAGATCTACGTTGACAAGTGCAATCTCAGACAATGCTTGCAAGGTTTAAGAGCCCTTAAATTACTTACTCTTTTTACTGCAATAATTGACACTTGCATTTCAGAGCTCCAGGAAATATACAGCATAACTGAATATATTCTAAGGCACTTCTCTCCATTAAACAATGAACAAATGGTAGCCAGGTACAACATGATGCATTTTAAGGTTGTAAAAATTAATAGCTTTGGTACTGAATCTTCAAAACACTCTCTTGCCAGAAGCTGTAACACAATTGTTAGCTAATATTTTCTTGGTAGTAGGTTAGTAGGTCACGCTTAATATGCCTGCTTCCTTCACAAATGACTTTGCATTAGCTGTTAAAGGTCTAAGGTCTAATTCTGCTACCTTTACTTCAGAAATAATCTCATTAAAATCAAGACTATATATAGAATAAAACTAAAAGAACCAAATCTTTGGGAAGCAAACTGGCATGAAAAAAAAAACACTGCCCAACGACATTTTTTTCTTGTTGATAGCAGAAATGAAATCTCAAATAGCAATTATGTTCTTAACATCAACTATAATATAAATAAAGAAAATTTGCAAAAGCACACTCTATGTCCTATTTAAGAAAGCTCAGAGAAGGATTTATTTGTTTGTTTGAAAAATGAGATTTATAAGAAAAAAGTGAATGGAAAGTCTGCTAGACGGAAGATTTCCATAGGTGAAAAAACCCTTCTTTATTGTAATAAAATAAAAAAAAAAAGTTTGCTGGTTGCATTCCTAAACCAGCAGTATGTGACTTAATATCAGAGACAAAATTAGCTTTTCTCAGACATAATTTTACGTAGATTTCATGTTCTGTCCAGAAGAAAGCATTCAGTAGCTCTGTTTGAAACACTTTATTCTAGAAATGAATATAAACAGTACGGAAAAATTCAGTGTGTATTCTTTAAATTAGGAACCTGGTAAATTCACAGATGGATACTTGTTAGTCAATGGCCAATTTATCTGCCGGCTTTATTTGCAAGCAGAAGATTAGAGACAAGATAAAGTACTCGTTTATGCTTTCCTATATAATGGTGTTTATAGTATGTAAAACTATTTTTTTAACTTCATTCACGAATAAAACCTACAGATCAAAGATTTGGCTTGTGCCTTCTTTTTAATTTGGGAACTTGATATACAGTTCTAGGTATCATTAACCTTTTTGAGCATTGATTACAAAACATCCCTAACAGTGTCCAGGAAAGCAAAGTAGCATGTCCTAAACATCTTGCAGTTACCATTCTTAGCAAATGGCTCAACATCCTAACTATAAACATTTCACAAAATAATAAAGAACCATGTTATTAGATCTTACTAGAACTATGTAGAAAAGCTTTAAAAAATGAATGATAATACTTGGACATATAAGTTAATGGGAAGCTCTATTTTTCAACTGATGAACTTCCCACTTATTTTTCAAATGTGGAGTATGACATAAAGAGCCCTCTCTGACTACACAATACCTAACCATAGACCCTGTCATCCAGTTCTCTGTTTTCATAAAATGATCAAGTACATTGAAAGCAAAAGCAGAGTTTGAAATAGCCCTTCTTCATGAGTTCCCAATAAAATAAAAAAATAATTTTTTTTTTTTTTTTTTTAATTAAATTCCCTCAAACCTTCCACCCTTGGAAACAAAGCTTCAAACCTTCCACACTTGGAAACTAAGCTAATATAGCAATTGGAGGATGAGGTGTAGTCATGTCTTCTTACTGACACGTACATTCTAGCTATCTAAAGTCTCATCACCACACATGTCTTAAGGCAAGGCAGAGAAACGGTGAATATCAGAATGTGATACATCTGATTTATCTTAGGCACTTAGGATGAGATAAATTACTCTGAGAAGGTGCCTTTTGCTCTCCATTGGGTGTAAAGAAAAACTGGAGTTACTAGATTAGACAACTAACTTTGGATACCCAAGTTACAGCAAATGAGTCTCACCATAGGCCGCAACTGACTGAGGAAAAATTGTGTTTAGTTCCCGCCAGATGATGCAAAACTGGTATTTTCCCTTAGAACTTTGTTTTAAAATGGGAAACATATGTTGAATATTTTAACTGCTAACAAGTATTTTTGCGAAAGTTACAACTATAAATGACACAATAAAATAATTCCTTTCTTAAGCAATTAAGTCTTATGATCTTACAGTAAAACAGGAAAGAAGAGAATTAGTGGATATAGTATCACATTACGGAAGAGACAGCTAAGAAACTGTCTTACAGAGTACCAAAAACAGTGAAAGGAAAATGCAAAAATAGAATGTGCATGATGTTCTATATTTAGCTTTGTGGGTAGGCTCTGAAATCTCCTTTGAGCTGTCTTCTTTGATAGTCACTGGTAAGACCGAATTCTGAGGCAACAGTAGGGTGTTCTCAGCAATATTTTTATTTGAGGGCTCAAACCAGTCAGTATTCAAAGGCAATCTGTGAATTTATTATAGTTGTATACATAAGCATCTTCTTTTTATTTTTGTTAACTGAGCCTAGATCAAAACATACTATTTTGCATCAGTTATTTTCAATATGTTTCAAATTTTATTTTTAATATGAATGCTTGCTAATAGCCTTGCACTGGCAGACCTGTCTTGAAGATTGTCCCATTGTTAATGTCTTACTTAGCTGTAACACAGAAATTCATTTGTCTCAAAAAATGATTTCAAAGTGAAATATTTTCATACCTCCCTGTACATCAGCAGTTTTCCAGCTGCATGCTATCACTGCATCTGCAGTGAATCATACAGAATCATCATTTTAAGGAGAGAAGGAATGCTGGACATGTGAGGTACACTCAGATACTATATTCTAACTATAGTATCAGTGTTTTCTTCAACAACATTAACTATCACACAGGAGCAGTCACATTAGCTTCCCAGTGGCATAAAACCTTTGAGGCTCTTTTGCAGTGGTTTTTTAACATTATAAGGAATAAAAAGTAGGGGAAAAAATGAATGCCATTTCACTGCTGATCCTATCATCACATGCAAAATATAACAGCACCATGCCCTTAACATTCAAGTGCATATCAAGCTAAAACAAAAGTGAAAATTCCAATTAAAAAATTGTAACTGAAATTTCTATACTATTAGTCAGTAATACCCTTCTGAGGAATTTCAATGGTATTGCCATTGGTAGTTCGGACACGTGAAAATTTCTTCTATAGAGCTTTTATTTTTTTATGAGACACTACCAGTTTACACCACTCTTGTATTGGCAGAAACTGATTGAATAGATCTTTGCTTCTTACCATCAACACAGGCTGGCCTTGCTCTTGTTGTACCGGCAATCTGTCCTTTTTTACATGCACAGCGAGCTGTTTGTCGGGCTATAGTCCTTCGGGGCTGACTGCTATCTCTGTCCAAAGTAACAATCTCACATGTACCTGCAGCCAGTTGACCTGGAAAAAGAACCAGCAACAGGTACCAGAGTCACTGAATGCACTACAGGCAATCTATTACAGCCGAATAGAGTCACGGCCCTATGTCACAGCAGACACTCCACAACAAATGGGCAGCCAGCTGATGGATATAATAAAACTGAGATGACATACAATTTTTCTTTGTGGTGGACATATGAAAACCCTGCAAACTGGCTCTGTCAGAAAATGATTATTGTTCCATAAAAGCCAGAGAGCTGAGGTCACACAGGTTACTTTTACTTATGTCGGCTAAGTAAAGGAACAATCTGCTTTTACAGCAATGAAATTTAAATGGTGTGCTCTTTACATACTTCCAGAAAAGAAATGGTAAAGTATATGGAAAACAAAAAACTTCCCCACATGTCCATGAATATAATGAAGTCTTAACTGCTTTGCATGTTGTTTTTGAAAGAAAAAGTCTTTCAAAGTATGCCCATGTTTGACCAGGTTGTCAGTCCTTTGGCTCTTGCTTCATCTAAACTGAACAGTAATTTATTCTCTACCTGACTCATATTTGAAGTAGCTGGTCTTTTTTCTTTTACTAGATTTACTATGTAACCATGCTGCAAATGATAGTAAAATGACACTGCCCCGTTAGCTCAGTAACATTGTTTGCTTTTTATTGACTTCTCCACTATGTGTAGCTTTTCCTGAATATTAAGGAAATCCACATCACCTAATTCTGAATTTGGACCATGCTATGAGAGGCAAAACAAAAAGTTGCAAAAAATTCTTTTATGAGGAATATTAGTCTGAAGTAAATGTTATGCATTTAAAGTGATGCACTTCTTCATGAGAGGCAAAACAAAAAGTTGCAAAAAATTCTTTTATGAGGAATATTAGTCTGAAGTAAATGTTATACATTTAAAGTGATGCACTTCTTCTGGTACAACCAATAGTAAACTACTAGTATACCAAAATACTACCTTTTACAAGCAAGAAAGATACATTATTGAATTTCAATGCGTAGTAAGACTGAAAAAAAGTCCCAGCTATCACTTTGTATTACATATTATTTCTGGATTTTATGGTAGAGTAGTAAATATAATTTCTATTGGATTTTGTCTTTGTAGGCAATCGATTATAAACCTTCAAATGAGTATGTGCAAAAATATATCTGCAAATCACAAGCTTACCATATTTTGTTTTCATAAAAAAATAAGATTGGAACAAAAGCAATATTGTATCTATAAAAAAGTTATGCAGTTTAAATAATATTAACAGTAAATTATTTTTGTGCTGTTGAAATATTGAAAAAGAACAATGAGACAAAAAGCAGAAATTTAATTTTATATTAACATCAAATTTAAAAAAAAAAAACACAAAACCCCCTGAAACATACATGAATGGCATTTAATTCAAGTCTAAAAGTGTAATGATATTTCTGTATACTGCATTGTTTCCATTCAGAATACAAGTTTACCCAGTATATTCTTCTCAGAACCAGCTTACGATGCTTCTTATTGTGTGGATACTGTTTTGAAACTGCCAGAATAGCAAAACATTGTAGGCTGTCAACAGCATTGTGACTGGTTCACTGCTAAGCCACCTAAATTGTATGTTGCTGTGACTCCTACACTGCAGTGAATTACAACATGGTGAAACTGAGGATCTCAAAGATGAATATGGAACAAAGTACTCTACAAATCCATGCAAATATATGTAAGTAATATACATTAGGCATTTATAAATACAGATATGATATTCACGATAGTGAACACTATCGTCATAGTGTTTAATGGCTGCTGGCAACTAGACTTAATGAGCTATGGTCAATCCTGCGTTTCTACTCTTTTCCACCCACTCTGTTAATAAAAATGTCTTAGGATAAACATACTGATGAGAGGATTTTTATGTATTATATGCTGTTTTTTCCTTTGTTTCCTCCAAAATCTTGGGTTAGAAAGCAAAGGTTTAGTAAGAAAGATAGTGGCACATGAGTTTCCAGATAGGGACAAGGGAAATCCAGCTACACTGAAAGATCTTGAACCGAAAAAAAAAAATCATTCTTTTTTCCCCCATCACTAATATAATTCATTCTGGGTTGCAGGAGATGTATTGCTCCCAAGGAATACAGCTGTCTTAGTAGATCATGTAAAAAAGACATAATCAGAGGTGTATTTAGATCTTGACCCCTTAGGCATTTGAACATCATGATTATGGTCCTGCATTGAGAATAGAAATTGAATGGAAACTAAAGAAAAAGTGGAAGCATAAATATGATATGTGTACGTGTTCCTGAGAGTATGGGTTGCCATATCCTTCCCTATCTGTAAGTCTTTATACTATTGTTACTTTCATTAAAAGATATGGTAAATCATATAATCTAGGCAGATCATTATATAAAACCCCATTTCAGAGGAAAGGAACCAGTTTTACAGCACAGTGAAGATGAGTAAGGACTATACTCAGAGAAAAAGAACAATGAAGCTTTATGTCAAGATAATTTGTGAAAGGAAAAAGCTTTCCAGGGAATGCAAGCAGTGACTATTGATAAGAATGCCTATAGATAATATTTTCTGCTTTTGGACCTGTCCAGTTTTAGTTCTGCATAGGTTCATTTTGAGCCAGCTGGGCTATTTGTTTTTTATGACTGTTTTCAGCTGTTCATTTTGTTTAGAGATGATAATTTCTTCCAGGCATAGTGACCTCATTTTTTTGATGAACTTCAAAAACTGGGATACCTAAATGAGAGATAATACAAAGATAATGTCACACTGCCTTTCAAGGAATTTTGTGCAGCTATTAAAAATAAGGGAAAATTGGAAAGATTTTTAAAACACTTCATAGAATTTTAATTTTTTTTTTAGAGATCATTTCTCTGTGGCCATTCTTGTTTCTATAGCAGAAGAAAATTAAAGAGTTATTGCAGAGCTGCAGCAGCTCTTCCCACATATATGACATAAATACTTCTTGGTCATTGTGTCACAGGGTGCAAAGATTGCAAGTATATTGAGCACTGCAACATAGTGTACATCCACTGTTACTTGGCTTTAGATGGCTGTAAAGCATGAAAAGTATTAGTTAAGGTTATGGAGGCCCATCTCCAGAGAGAGTCAGCCTGTTGTAAAGCATGTCCTCTCTGTCTCTCATTAAGTAGAGGGTAAGTCTACAGGAGTACCTTACTTAGATGACATGTATGCTACTTTTGTTTTTTAACAATTTAATCTAGAAATGTAAGGTACAAAATGATGGAATAAAAGGAGTACACTTCTTGTAAGTACCGAGTTTCAAGAATTAGGATACCTTTCATTTTCAGGGAAGTTGACATAGTGACCTCTTTCAAAGATACTAATGAAAACAGGCCATTCATCTCTGAGCCTCTGAACACTCTCCACTTCACTCCTAAGCACAGAGAAGAAATCTCAAGGCAGCAACGGGTGGAGTTTCACTGGAGCTTTTCCAGCTGAGAGATTAAGAGCCACAGTCTATGGAACAGTCATAAAGACTCCATATTTTCAGTAGATCGTATTTATGTACTTGCAGTACACAAAGCAATTCACCACCTTCCAACCTGAATGAAATAATCTTGGGGAAAAAAAAGGCAAGCATCATCAGAGAATTCTGATTCATTCTAGTCTTGTCTGAAAGTTTATCTTCCAAGAAAAAAATGTAATTTTTTATTATTTTACAGACCAAGTATAAAGATTGTTTCAGAGTTACCATCACCCAGTTTTCCAAGTAAATGAGTGGGTATTTCTTTGTTGCTGTTATTGTTTTAAAATATGTATATTATATATACATATTTTTGATATTTTATAAATATTTGTTTTATAAGTTTATTTTAGTAATTAAGACCTCACTGGAAGTTACTTGATTTTGTGTTGCCACCATCTGGTTACTAAACAGAGAAAAGGTTCAGGTTCTTTAATGCTCTTCTATAATGTTGTACTGCATTCTTAAAATGCCACTTGATATGTCCCCCTCTCTCTCCCACCACAAGCACACATGATTCTATATGGAATTCTTTCAGGAAAAAGGAAAACTACAGGATTCTGAATTAAAAATGTAAGTCAAACTAAACCAAAACCAAAAAAACCCACAACCATTAAAATTCCAAATGCAACAGGATTAGTCTTTTGGCTTCTAGCTTGCACTCATGGACTTGTTTACAGTAATTGCTGTACTCAGCACCTATTTTGCTTTTTTCTGAATGAAGTCCCATCATGATCAGTTCTGAAACTGCGCTCTGTGAGACTTTCATGGAAGTCTGTAGGAATCAGTGAGTTTAGGTACACATATTTAGCAAATGGCGCAGGAAATATCTCAAGGTAAAACTATTATATTTTTAAAAGTTCTTTAGTACTTACATTCTTGAAAAAAAAGAGTTTGTTATTGAAAAGTTTAAAAGTAAATAGCATTTTTTATGTGTACTACTACGAGCCCCCTGTCCACTAATTGTCACTGCTGAAAGAACAAAGCTTTTGAAAGATCTGTATTGTCTGTCATAGGTAAAACCCTCAAATAGTAAGTATTTTCATATTACATGAAGGGTACCTGGGATAATATTTTAATTTTCTGTGGAGGAAAATATTTCTATTCTCTAATAGAAAATAAAATCTGCCTAATCCACATTGATTACAGCAAGCAAGTCAAAGATATTATGATTTTTTTAATTTATGCATGTTGAAAAGCTGAAGACTTTCCCTCAAATTCATTTAAAGAAATAAAATCAGATGATGAACTCACGGTATCTGTGGGTACAATGAAAATAAAACTTGATCTAAATATAGGGGTCTTTCCAGGGTTTTAGATTCCATGCTCATCCAGAAAATCTACTTCTGAATTGTACATGCAGGCTTATATTATAGTTTCAGTGAACAATTTTTCCATGCATCACCAATTTGATGCCTAGCAACACAAGCTCTTTTAGTTCAAAATGCATAAAGTTAGATGTTATTTAAAATCTTGGCTAGATTCAGATACTCTTTTGTCAGTGAACACAATGCAGGAGTTGTTTCAAAATCAGATCATAGGAA